GACTGACTTGGATAGAGTAAATGAGACAAAAGAATTTTAAAGTTCAAAATTTGAAATGAAATACATGGGTGAGGCAGATGTGATTTTGGGAGTAAAAATCAAAAGGACTCCAAATGGCATATGTCTTAACTAGTTATTCTATGTTGAAAAACTTCTCAAAAAGTTTGACTTAATTAATGTCGATCCACTTAGGAAATCATATGACCCCAATTTCCACCTAAAGAAAAATAACGATGATCCCGTTCACCAATCTAAATATGCTAGAATTATTGGTAGTGTTATGTTTCTTATGAACTACACTAGACATGATATTGCTTACTCTATTAGTAGATTGAGCAGGTACACTCCTAACTCGAGTAGTGATCATTGGATTGCTCTCAAGAGATTGCTTAGGTTTTTAAGGGTACCATGGATTGGGGTTTGCACTACTCAAAAATTTTAGGAGTTTTGGAGGGCTTTTGTGACGCCAACTAGGTGTCTCACAACGACGAAGTTGACTCCACTAGTGGTTATGTCTTCACCCGTGGGGGTGGGGCTATATCATGGAAATCTAGTAATCAATCTTGTATTGCTATGTCTATTGTGGAATATGAATTTATTGCTCTTGGATTGGAAGGTTGAGAAACATGATTGCTGATATTCCACTTTAGCTCCTACAGTTGCACTTTATTGTGATTCGCAAGTTGCGATTTCTATTGCAAACAACCATGCCTACAATGGGATGATGAGACACATTCATCTGAGGCATAAGGCTTATGTCTGAAGGGATGATATCATTGGACTATGTAAAGTTCGAAAAGAATGTTGCGGATCTGTTGACAAAAGGCCGATGTAGAAAACTAGTTTTAGAAACATCGGAAGGGATGGGGCTAAAGCCCGTTGTATGAATTGTAAAGTAATGAACTCCTACTCATTATGAGTTCAAAGGGGAACATTATATAATAATTTGGAAGCACAATTTTTATTTTTGGTCCATCTCTAGATGTTTGTTTTGTGCTTTGCTACAAATGAGAAAGAGGTTGAGCATATGGCTCTTAATGAACCCATATCTACATTTTTGGTGGTGTGTTGTAGCTCACACTTGATGGGATTAACCTACTTAAGTGTGGAAGTGTGGCCCTTCCTATGAGTATTTTGTGGGCTTATACTCTAGAGCACCTATGAGCATCCAGGACATATGGCCATTATAATGCGTCATTTTATTCGCGGAATTTTAAAATATTACACATGGTTAATTGTGTGACTCAAGTGACAGGTTCTTAACCGCTTATTAAGTTCAAGGCGAAGGTCACTTGGTAGGAAAGGGATCATAGTTTGACGTTCACTATGTGTCAATTCAAGTCACGAGACATTGGCACTTATGCAATTGTTTGTTTTGCCCAAAAGTCAATTTTCTTTATTTTCTTTTTTCTCATCTTTCAATATGTGGGGGATTGTTGGAAATTCTTGATGAAAACAAAGAAAAAGAGTGGTATAAAAATGAGGTAAATGTCCCACATTGAAAGAAAAAGAGTGCTCTCCCTTGTTTAAATATTGTAGTACCTTAGTCTTAATAAGTTGAGTAAGTGGAAAGTGGGTTTTGGGCTATACCACACACGCGCGCGCCGAGCCGGGTCGGGTCGGGTCGGGTCGGGCTCAGGCCTCGCGACTCGTGGACTTGGGGAATGCGATGCGTGGGTGGGATGTGGGCCCTATATCTTTTTAAAGAAATTTTTATCACTTTCTCTTACTTTGGTACCAGAATATTGTCAATTATTTTTTTACTGTTACAGTTAAATTAGCCCTTAATTTCTGCTAATTAATTGACAGAATTATTCCTTGTCGTTTTGTTGTAACGTTTCTAGTCACTTGGCTGAACGAACCTAGACACTTTCTTGTGGTAACTATTGCCTGCTTCTTCCCTATAAATACCTGTGCTTTCACCGGTCATAATACACAATTACAATTACTCTCTTCTCTCTAAAATCCTAAACATTGTTATCTAATTTCTAGGCAAATATTATGAATTCCAGTCGGGTTTGTGAGTGCACACAAACTCCGGCGCCGTGCTTATCCTGGAGAGCAACCGCTTTGCGTCTACTACACTGAGAGGTAGCGCGGAATAGTCTTTAGGTCAGTGGCTATCCACGATGCGGCTATTGTCATCTGGTTCACACCTCTTTGAGATAAGTTTTACTGTTTTATAACATATAAGTCTAACAGGTTTGAGAGACTTCTTATTTGTGGCTTTTTGCTAGTTAACTTGTTGCTTTACAAGTTTTTTTTTCCTCTACTAATGTATGTTTTGTCCATTAACAATGTGTTTATGATATGTACTTTGTGTTTTGTCCTAGTAGATCAGGGATGTTATTTTTCTATCTTATGATATTGTCTTTATTGATTTTTTCCCCGATCATGGATAATGTTTTTGTTGAGCATGGAGTCGGTGATAGGCTTGTAAGTGTCCCTATTAGTTTGACTCTAAAATGGATATAGAATTATTATTGACGTTAATTCTTGTAACCTTGACTTTTCTGACAGACTTGAAATGTGTATAATTGCTAAAGGTGTAGCCCTTAATTTTCTTATTAATGGCCTAGATGAGACCGGTTATCTCTCCGTGCTTGATAGCAGAAGTGAAAGTTACGATTTGGCAAAGGACTAGTAAGTAAGATCATACAAAGTGCCTATAAAAGTACGAGATGATGAGATAAGCGTTGTGGTTCTGTGTGGTAAGCCACTGAATCGTTAAAGGTACCCATTAGTCTCATTCTCGCTATGTAAGGAAAATGACTCGGTAAATTTGTTTATCATGTTAAAGCTAGAGTTGATTCAATAATTTAGCTATGATATTTGATTCAAATGTGCTAATGTTTTGCAAGTTAAATGATATAACAAATTATTCTTGACATGAAGCTGCTTTTGCACTAAGTTCAACGTTCATTCTATCTATCAAGAGAGGATAACTCAATTTATTGTTTAAGCTTTAAGCTTTGAGCAATATAGGGATGATGGTTAAGTGAGAAAGTTTCTCACTGTCCCATTAAGTTTCTCAAGTACTTGTCCCATTAAGTTCTAAGGGACATTGATTGAATGAACGAAGATGACTAGTTTTGCCCTGAAATGTATCGTCTTTACATGATGAAGGGTAGTGCACTGTATCGAGTAAGTTGCCAGGTAAAAGTGTGATACGCTGTCCAGTATGAAGCAAGGTTCATTAGCTTGGATGACATGTGTCGAGATGATGATTGTTGCGAAAAATAATCTTTGGGAGTTTTTCTATTGTGGGGGTAAGTTAATCCTCATGTTCTCAATATTACTTTCACAAGTGTTTATGTACATATGTTGTGAGGAACTACAAATGTAGTGACAAAGTTAAACAAATCTTATGGAGGTGATCTCATGTTAGAGTATCAAAGAAGAATTAAGCAAGTCCTTATAAAAGGATGAAGCCCAAGTAAGTGCTTGATTGTTTGAGGGAATGTGTTATAAATCCCATGTGGTGTTTCTGATGAAGAGTCTACGTTCTAAAGGTATTTAGCATAGTAACCCTCTAATTTATATGGTTATGAAATGCTTTGCTAAACATGTCTTTTGATTTTAATAGGTTGAGTTTAAGTGCTCTTGATACGTCCATAACCCAAGTTAGGTGGTCAAGTAGACGCACCAATGTGTTTTAATTGAGCTTATGACTTGAATGAGTCTGGAGCCGTTCTTTGGTTGACTCATTGCATATTTTACACGCGCGTGTATGTCAAATCTAACTCTTTTTGAGTGGTATGTTGATCAGTAGCGTCCTCCAGTTAGGTTGAGCAATTGAGCATGGCTTATAAGGTCATTATTCTAGTTATTCTTTGAGCATGGATTGGCAATAAGTCTTAAGTCGATATAAGCCCATTAGCCCGGTGGCTCCAAGAGTAGGATTGATAATGGAACCGAAAGAGAAAGGTTGAGCATTGCTCTTAATATCGCTAGTCCAGTTGCCCAAGAGTAGGGAACGATGGTGATTCTTAAATGACTTAGAATCACTAACCTTGATATTGCTTGAGTAGGGAACGATAGTGGCACCGAAGAATTGAGATTGGGTGTATCAAGAGGATTGGTAGATGCACCATCGAGTTATTAGGGTTAAACTATATGTTCTTAATGTTCTTTCTAATGCATAGAAAATCTTGGGTTTGCAAGTAACTTGAAAGTTTTTGAAATTAAGTCTACAAGGAAAATACCCTAGATATGTTGGGAATGTGTAAATAATACATAGACAGACACCTACATGAATATGAAGGGCGACCTCCTTTAAGGGAAGACTGTGGTGTTGTCTTTGTGAAGTATTCATGAGAGGCCAAGTGTTGGCCAAGAGTGGTAGAATTGCTCAAGCTCTAAAGGTAAAGTATGTGCTACTGGGTCCCTTCCTCGCTCCTAGGAGTAAAAAACTTTGGATACTCACTAGGGAAGTGTTGAATCCCTTATGCCACACATGTGCTAGTTCAAACCTTTATATACTATTGCTTATGTGCTTCACCTTTCCTTTCACCGTTAGGATTTCATGATCTCATCTACGTTTGCATTAGCAGGGGATTATAGGAGTTGTATTGGTGGTAATGCAAATTGGAGGCTTTTCTCGAGAGCGATCGAGATAGCTCACTTGATATAAATTAGCGTGGCGGCGGGTGAGCGATCAGATGCTCCCATTGTTGCGGCAAGACCGAGCTAACAGGCAAGGGAGCGATAGCTCGGAAGCATGATTGCTGGCGGCAAGGCTAAGCGAGCTATAGCTCAGCTGCTCGTGCGTACGGCTTGGAGAGGAAGCTTTTATTTGTTTCCTTTTCTTGACTACTCCTATGTATACACTCTTAAGTCCCAATATGCTAGATAAGGAAAACATTGAAACCCTAAACACACAAAACACAAACCAACCCTTATAGAATGAATAGTTCTTGTAGCAATTCCATCCTTCGAGTTCCGATGCATGGATTACGAGGTAGTATAATGTATATGTTCTAAAAGTCATAAAAACTTACCTGGATGAAGGTTACAGGATCAGAAGAGATATTGAGGAAGTCCTTAATACTGTCCACAAGCTGGTACAATAGAAAAACATAAATAGGTTAGTATTTTGATGATCTCCTACCAGATAGGTATCAATATCAAGTAAATTTGAACCTCATTACAATGGACACCTATTACATTAGTCATTAGTTTGTTTACATTGAATCGTACCAGTGAACTTAACAGCTACACAGTATACAATGCTTTAGGAATACTAAACAATTGAATAACTCAATTGTAAACTATGGTTAAGAAGTAACCAAATCCCTTCTAAACTGATCTGATCACTGCCTATAGATTCAAATACTGAGCTAAGGGACAATACTGCTTTGACAATTAGGTGTTAGCATTTAGTGTATATCTAAAAGTATGCCCACAAAGTAAGGAAACATGAATGTTAAGGTAATTAGATCTGCTATTAAGGAGTGTAGGGAGCGAAGTTAGCGTGGCTGTATAAAAATGACACTAACCACCCTTTTTCTAAGGCAAAAGGGGTTCATTTAGAAAGTGATTGTTGTCCAACTAATTTTAATTTCAATCAAGTGAAATAATTTGGTTTAAATGGTAAAGATTTTTAAACATCTTTCTTGTAACATAAACATACATACACATCATCTAAATGAAAAAAGATAAGAATCATCAACAAGGACATCTTATACAAAACTAATGAGATAATTGAAGATTAACTGTCTGTAAATATTCAGCCTCAGTGAGAAAGTGATAATTGTAGGATAAAGCAAAGCAAAAATTTTGCAAGAAAGCTGACCCCTGATTTCTGCAATACTCCATGGAAATCATTTGTCACAAGCCATCCAACACGCCAGCCAGGAACTATCCATCGTTTAGATATTGAACCAAGTGTCAGTACAGGAACAATATTGCTAAAAACACCCATTGGAATAAATGAATTTTTTCCAAACGTAAGGTGTTCATATACTTCATCAGCAATCACAAGAATCCCAAGCTTTTTTGCAGTTTCTGCCACCTAAAATCATACAGAAAAAGAATAAAAAAATCAAACTTAACAGAAGAAAGAAACATTAACTTCAGTTTGTTGGAGCTACATCTATCATAATATTTTTAAATTAAGGCTGATAATTAAAGAAACATCCCAAGGTTATCTAATATTCTCCTTTTTTTCCTCATCTCCACCGACTTTTCCGCCTAAGGCAATATTCCTGCTAATGATGCCTTCTTCATTATGTCTATTGTAAACATGTTGCATAAGTCAGACTACATGTTAAATTAGGCTACATGGTATGGTAAATTACACAGAACTTCCCGATAAAAGCATTGATATAATAAACATGAACTTTAATACCTTTTGTAAATGTTCATAACTATAAACATTCCCACAAGGATTTCCAGGGTTTATAATAACCATGGCTACAGTATTCTCATCTGCTAAAGCCCCGACTGCATCAAGATCAACCTCCCACCCCTTTTCTGGAAGAAGATTGAAATGGCGAATTTCAAGATCAGTGTTGGCAGACACAGCCTCATAGTAAGGGAAACCTGGTTTTGGTATCAGTATATTTGCTCCTGGATTAGATAAAACAGAAAGAGCTACTTCGATTGCATGTGTGCAACCAAGTGTGAGGAATATGTCATCAGGAGATAGTTTGTTTGGAAGATGACGAGAGAGATATTCTGCTACAGCCCTGCATTCAGGCATTCAACATTACTAGATAGACCCTGGAAAATCTGTCTAGGATACATATAAAGAGCAAACACATATAGGCGAAAATAACCTACCAATATATGATTACACTAAAACACCACCACACAGCATTGTACAATTCACTGAGCTCCTTTATAATTCACACAGCATTGTACATTTCACTAAGCTCCTTTATAATTCACACAAAATAAATATCTTTAGGTAACAGTAAATAGTTGTTCTAGACTTAACTACATACGTGACATCGAGTATATCTTCACATGTAAGATTTCATACACTCCCTCCGTCCTAACTTAATCATCACAGAATAGTTTCGTTGGCTTATTTATTACTCCCTCCCTCTCTTTTTTTTTTTGTTCTACTCACGTTCTATTTTATAACAAAATTGATATTGAGAAACTTTAGATTAACATGTATTTTACAATATTTCTCCTGATAATACATGTTTTCAATGTATAAGTAGATATCTATTGTCAAAGTCGAGGGAGTAGTTTTCTTGTACTACTCATTTTACCTTATCCCTTATACCACCTTACCCATTTAACCAGACAATAATTACTATGTGTTGATCTCACATGTCCCGAATGAGGACGCAAGCAAGATTCAACTAAGCTGCAAACTCTTCAGGTAGTTTGTTGGTCAATTAACTATTAAGCATTAATATTTTGCACTACTTTTGCAATGTTTTTTCTTGTAATTTTTCCCACCACATGACCACAAGGAAATCGAGAATTAATATTTTTTATTCCTTTTTATATCCATTGAACTATAAAGCAAATAAGAAGATACAGAGTATTTTCAGATATGTATAACCTTATCAAAATGTTAATGTTTCACTCTGCACACTTTGCTAGTACATCACTCAAAACATGATTGAAATCTTACCAAAGAAATACTTTATAATTATAAACACTATTTTATGAAATTCATGAGCAAGATGGTAAAACCAAAAAGAATTTGTATGTTATAATACTTCTATACTTAAATGATTTGCTGTTATTCATACAAATATGGCAGTGCTGGAAAATTTATTCTGGGCACTTAGGTGAATTTAATTGACAATATCTATGACTTCAGTCTGATTAGATATTGGAACTCAATCTACTTCAATTAGAAAGATCAAACAAATGAAGCAAATTCTTGTAAAAAATTTAGTCTATCATTACATATGGTTCTATATATACTACTTGTATATTGTTGCACTTTGCACTAAGATTCCACATTCCAATCAAACACTGATCTATCAACATGATTGAATCAACAAACAAACAAAAAAAACAAATGAAGACAAATAAATGTATAAATCATGTAATCAAATTGATATGAAGCGATAGATTAAATGTGGTGGAAAACTAAAGATTCTACTTATTTTGGCCCACATTTTTTAACATTCTTCTACCATCACAAATCAAGACTCTTCTATTACTATGTGACTTAAGAGGTTACCAATTCAATTACACAAGTTATTTTGACACACAATGGCTCTATTTCCATGAGCATAAATCAACCGAACTTTATAAATTATTTACACAACTTAGTTTAGTCGAACTTAAGCAAAAGACGTCATTTGATTGGACGCCTATATTTATTTTCAAAGAATAATAATTCTGTATTAATTATATAGATAGTTGATCAATAACTCTCAAGTTTTCACCTCACAAGGAAGTGCAAAATCAGAATTTTTAAGTTTATGAAACTGCATTTTCATAGGGGAGACATGGGAAAGTTTAAGTTGATAATTTTTCAATTTCACATTTTCACACATGACCAGTAAGGAAGAATGCCATACTTGCGAGCAGGAAGAATGCCGGCGGTGGAGCTATAGCAATTAAACTGACGAGAGCGGAGAGCGTCAACAACGGCGTCCTCGGCAAACGGAGAAGTATAAAAGCAGGGGAAATGGGAAGGATCACCATGTCCAAGACGCAAAATTTGACGGTTGTCGCTTGGATTAAGGTTTTTCATTAACGAATTCAAAACACCACTAACTGTAATCCCAGAAGCTTTGGATAAACTATTATTACCTTTGAAATTCCATTTTTGTGTTTCTCCTCCTCCGTTCTCCATCTCCCACACTCTCTTTCTCTCTCTCTCTCTCTTCTCAGTTTTTTATGTTGTTAAGGCAGGGAAGCGGAGTGGACAGTGGACAAGGAAATTAGTAAAAGAGAGAAGGAAAATAGCAAATGAGAGAGGAGGGGTGATTTATATTTTATAGGAGGTATATATATATATATATATATATATATACGGGGAGGTTCTGCTAAAAACAGAGCTTATGGTGAAAACTAAAAACAAGCAATCTTAGTCATTCATTAGTAGCACAAAAGATCAGACGGTTCTAAAGCCCTAAGATCATTCCAACCTTGCATATAATCAATTCAACCGTTTTAAAGGTTTTTTTTTTTTTTTTTTTTTTTTTTTTTTTTTTTTTTTTACAAACGCAACGTTTTAAAGGTCATTACATGCTAAAATAAGGTAACTTTATCTAAATTGACGATATTTACATAGAGTCACTATATATAAAAATAACGTAACTATATACAAAAATAGGGTAGCTATATCAATTTTTACAATATTTACATTAAGGTCACTATATACAAAAATAGGGTAACTATTTCAATATTGACCATATTTACATAGAGGTCACCATATACAAAAATAGGATAACTATAACAATTTTTACGACATTTACATTAATGTCACTATATACAAAAATAAAGTAACTATATCGACTGAGTTTTTGACACCATTTACATAAAGGTCACTATATACAAAAATAAAGGTCACTATATATAAAAATAAGGTGACTGAAACAAAATTTACAACATTTAAGGAATAAATGCTTTCTTTTTTTCCATTTTTTTTCATCTATAAATTGTTAATGAACCCAACCGGGTATTCATCGAAAGGAAGGAATTGCTTTCGACGAATACCCGGCGGAGCCATTTCGTTTTTTTCAATTAATGAATATTTTTTATTTTGATTTCAAGATGAAAGAACTCACTTTCTACCAAAATAGAAAATATTTCCAAAAATTGAACAAATTAACCATAGCACAAAAAAAGAATTTAAGACTTGAATGTGATAATAAAAATGGATGGCAAAACACGACAGAATTTGGATAATTTAATTCTCGTTATAATTAGAAATTATAAGATCCATAATTCTAAGGTTATTATATCGAAAATAAGGTAACTATATATAAACTTCGGGTAATTATATCAATTTGACATCATTTACCCAGAGGTCAATAAATATAAAAATAAGTATTAAAAAAGTCTATGTAGGATTCGAACCTACATCCCGTGATTACACGGTGCTCGACCAATTGAGCTAATAGGCTTTCAACATGCCAAAACAGCCAATAAAAGCATACCAACATCACAGACCAACATCATACAGACTGAAGCAAAACAAGCTTGACAAGATCAACGTTTTAAGGACAGAAGCAGAGGCAAATAAAAGCATACCAGGATATCATGATACGAGCAAGCCACCTGTATATGAGGAATCCCAACAAAATGTAGATATTGAACAGGCAGGCACCAAAAATCATACAATCAGAGATAAATCTTCACAAAGGCTGAAGAAGGTTACTACACTAACTCCAGCTGACAAGGTAAGATCAGGCATGATAGAGCTCGCAATAACGCAAACTAGCATACTCGAATTCTAGAAATAAATTTCTAAAGACACGCTTCTACTATTTAACTAACATGTCCTTTACCCTGCATATTTCAAGATGAGAATAAAGTATCAACAGTTATTGGAGATCAAAGGGAAAAATTGATACAACCTATAAATGGTCTTGAAAGCATTGTACAATCTCAACAGCTCTAGTATATTACAACCCCACATTAAAACCCCACAGAGGCCTACTCAATAACCTATAGATAGTATTACATGCCAGACCAAAAAGGAGCAAAAGGAATACATACATACAATCTCCCAAAGGACAAATAAAACAAATCAGATCAGTAATCAAATCATTACTCCCAGATCAGTAATCAGGATAAATGAGTTTTGCTAAAAATTTAGTCTTAAGCTCAATTAAACAAAGGAATTTCAGAAATCTGCAAGCTTCACCTGATCCTTCATCTGCATAAGAGCCAGGGGATACTTCGATGTCAACCTGTGTAAAAAAGACAATACTTGTATTATTCGTCTGAGAAAATCACGATGTCCCCATTACACAAGAGCCAGAATATCATGGTTCCCCTTACACAGCTCGAAATCACATTGAACTAAAAGTATGACTCAAAGGACAACCAAACGATCAGTTTCAGAAATAATTACTCCCAGATCACCAGCATGGTTTTATTTCAGATTACTCAAGGACTGAAGACGACTAGATGACAATGTAAGACATCATTCTTCTTGTTGGATATGTTAATGAGCTGTCGATTTCAATCTATGGCAGACTGGCACACTAGCTAGCAGATGTGATGCATACAAAAACATAAGACAAATGACAATTAGAGAGTGGAAGTATCTATATCTGAGCTACCAGTATCAACCCACCAGTTACTTAGGGTAGATTTTGTTCTTCACTCGAGTTGGTCTATACATTTTGTATTTATTGTATGACATGACGAACAGAAATGGGCAGTCTCGAAAGGCTTCTCAGATTATATTTCAAGCATACCAAATAAATCAATCAGGTTTACAAGTTCATAAGGCAAAACAACTCACCTTATAATGAGGAGGAAAGTAATGCTTTAGCTTAACTCTTAGGCACAAGCCAATAACAGTCGCCATACTGCAATGTTGGACGGTTGGGGTGAATGTTATCCTGTTGAACAAGACCACAATGCACAAGATCAAGGTTGAAATGTGATTAGGGGCGAGGCTAATGAGACCAAGAGCAAAAGAAATTAAACAGGTTAATTACTTTAGTACTAGTGCTAAAATAGTTACTTTAGAGTTTCTCCAACACAATCAATTATCTCATTTTGAAGTAGTGAAGTTGTGGCAACAAAGCCAGCTATAACGTGTTGAACTGAGGTCGACCATTCAACATTCACATTCTCATAACTTTAAAGAAGCTTAAAAGAGATTTCAAGGTAACAACAGGCAAATGTGACGCTTCAAAGCAAACATGCAACTGGATCGTTGTATGTAAAAAACAACACATGGAAAACATGTGGTGTTCTCAACTACTCATAGTACATAAGTTCAGCAATAAGCATGTAACATGACTAACATCAGTATATTGCTTACTTAATATTTTACCTTATACTCCTAAAACACCATATGAAGCAGTATATCGCTTTTTGCATAAAACTCCTTAAACCAATTTCATTTGTGAAGGCATCAGAATGCATCCCATGGTGAAGCTCCTTGTATCCTGCGACGTAGTCTTTATGCAGTTGTCTGCAATCACAAATGAAAACGGAAAAGGAATTGTTAGCAAAATCTTGATAAGGAATATTTAGAAAAGGAAATTGAACAAAAATCACAAATGAAAACAAACAAAAACCAAGCAAAATCAAACAGGAAATCGAACAAAATTGAACAAAATCGAACAGGAATTCGCAAAATCAAACAAAATCGAACAAAATTGATAAAAAAAAGTCGAAAAAATTGATGACCAAAGTCGCAAACTCGCAGTGGAAATCGAACAAAATTGATGAACAAAACACACAAAATCGCACAGAAATCGAACAAAATCGCAGAAAAAAAAATTTGATAAAATTACCAAATGATATCGAAAATTAAAAATCTGAAATCTAATCAAATTATGGAAAAAAGAATATACAAATTTGATGAGAAAAAGTCGAAAAATCGCACTAGAAATCAAACAAAATTGATGAACAAAACACGCAAATCACACAAGAAATCGAACAAAATCGCAGGAAAAAAATTGATAAAATTGCCAAATAAAATCGAAAATTAAAAATCGGAAAATCGCATAAATCAAATCACAAAAATCGCAAAAATTAAAATCGGAAAAATCAAATTGAAAAATCACAAAATCTAGTTGAACATCATGCGTTTTTCATGAAAAATTGAACAAAATCGGAAAAAAAAAAAAACGTACCTGATTTGAGCAATTTAGGTTGTTTATGCGAAATTTGAACAAAAATTCTTCAATTTCCAGCAATTTGTGTTTAATTTTGGGATTTGAGGAGAGAGAAAGATAAGAGGTTTGCAAGTTTGAGGAGAGAGAAAATTTTGGACGGTGGGTTAGGGGTATGAGCGAGGATATGTGTTTTAATCTCAGCCGTGAGATTTGATGGGTCATAATCTACGGTCTTGATTGTCTGTTTTCATGTTTTTAGCTATAGGCTTGTTTTCACATCATCCACACACCATATATATATATATATATATATATATATATATATATATATATATATATATATATATATATATATATATTTATAATCAAGAAGACAAAACAGTTACATCCCTTCCTTGCTGCTATAGCAAGTAGGTGGGCTTCGTGTACTCTATATCTACTAACCTTCCTTATAACAAACTGCCTAAAAGTATTAGTTTTTTTTGCTTGATTTCATGTATTGCATGTTTTACTTCCCTTCTACCTCTTCTCTCTTCAATGAATGCGATTACCATCTCCTTTGAATCCGTTAGCATGGTCATCAATCTCCCTGCTAGATCAGGGCTTTGTAAGGCCATCAGTGTTGCTTCCGCTTTCTGCTTGTGTTGTTGAAGTTGCAAAATTGTGGCCTTCCCTCTATCAATAACTGCACCTCTTTCCTTGATTACCCATCATGCTGCTGCTCTCCATGACTTGTGTGCTTGAGTCACATTCCTTTTCCAGGCACCGTCAATGAGGATAGTGATGTCCTCATTACATACACCACCATCTGAGCCCCAATATGGGTTAGCCTTGGCATCATCCATCGTAGCATTGATATTTGTGTCTTTGGAGCTTTTTGCAATTAAGTTATTGGAGTTAACCCACCTGGTAACCCACTGGTTTGCAAGAGACAAAATGTTAGTCGGTTCAACGGCTTGGTTTTTTAAAATCACGTTATTTTTAGTGAGCCATAGGCTCCATAGGATGCAAACAAGCTGAATGGCAGTACTTTCTACCATATTCCTATTTGAGAATAAAAAAGTCAGGTAGTTCATTATCCATATTTCAATCTTCAGCTCCTCTCCATTTTCTGCATTAATTCCCAGCGTGCTGCACTTCCATACTCTTCTTGCTATCTCACAGTCTCTAAATATGTGTTGTGGAGATTCTTCTGTTGATTTACATAACCTGCAAGTGTGGTTAACCATAACACCTCTTTTCATCAGGTTGTTTGCAGTTGGTAACACATTAACAATTGCTTTCCAGAAGGAATTTTTGTGCTTGGGCCATAGTTTTGAGGTCCATAATTTCTTCCAGAAGCTTGTTGATCCTTCACCATTCTCTTTTAGTTGGTCAAGTCAGTAGCCTGATTTGATAGAATAGTCTCCAGAATCTGAAGGACCCCAGTCCCAGTCATCTTGGTTCATACGCTTTACCGAGTGGATAGCAAGAATATCTCTGGCCACACTAGAACGAAACCATTTCCACACTAGCACACTACGCCAATTTCTATTTTCATCGAGCAGGTCACTTACCATGATTGGCTTGGCCTCATTATTATTCTGTTGTCTTTCATTGCACTTGATTAGATTCTTTGTTGTCCACCAATCTTCCTCAATTGCATTAGATTTCCCATCAGCTATCACTCTTCTTAGTCCTCCTCTCATAGAATGGATACTTTTGAAGATACTTCTCGCTCCCCATGACATTGAGGCTGTAGTCTCTCCTTTCGTACCTTTTTCAAACCAGTTGTTACTCTTGTATCTAACTTTAAAAACTTTACTAACCTGTAATTGCGGGTTAGTAAACATATACGCCATGCATGCTTGCTTGAAGACTAGAGCTTTATTGAGGCTATTTATGTTCCTAAGCCCAACACCTCCATCGTACTAGTGTTTTTCTAGAGTAATAGATTTCCTCCAGTAAATCGGTCTTCTTCCCATAGATGATGCCCACCAGAATTTGAGCAACAATGAAGAGATTTTCTTTAAGGTTGATTTTGGCAGGAGGTAATTAAGCACTTACAAGATGGTTGGCCATGGCTACAAGAATGCCATTATTAGGACTAATTTCCCAACTTCAGAGAAGTTGAGAAATTTCCATGAGGAAAGTTTACTTGTGATTTTTTCCACAAAGCCATTGAATGTAGCTGGTGACCTCCCATTTACATCCATAAGGCAGCCTAGATAAGTGCCCATTTGATCCTTATCCTTCACACCAAGGGTCTTCCTGAGTATCTTCTTGAATTTATTTGGCATGTTCTTCGAGAAGATAACGTTGGATTTGTTCAGATTCACCATCTCACTTGAGATTGCACAATACTGATCAAGGCTTTCCTTCATTACTCTGAAGTTCTCAATGTCCGCCTTAAGGAAGAACAATGCAACATCGGTGAAGAAAAGATGTGACAAATAGGGCCCCGACCTTGCTACTTTGATGCCTCTCAAAATAGAAGAGTGTTGCAGATGATTGAGTTTCCTTGACAAAACTTCCATACATAGTATGAAAAGATAGGGTGAGAGAGGGTCGCCTTGTCGAAGCCCTGCTTTTGGAATAATCTTTTTTGAGGGCTCTCCATTGATAAGAATACGATAAAAAACCATGGTTATGCACTGCATTATCTAGTTTATCAAAACCTCCAAAAACTTCATTTGGATGAGGACTTTTTGACAAAAGACTAATTTATTCTATTATATGCTTTATTAAGATCGACCTTAAAGATACTCTAGAACTTCCAAGACTTTGCTTTCTTTTTGATCTTGTGAAGCATTTGATCTCGTGGCCTAGCATACAACTGTCATTTATTGATCTCCCCGGCATAAACACATTTTGGTTATCACCAACCAGATCACCTATGATGCCCCATAGTCTCTTCACAAGACACTTTGATATGATTTTATATGAAGTGTAGCATAGGTTGATTGGTCTGAATTCCGAGACCAGTTATGGATTATTCACCTTGGGAATGAGGGCTATGAATGTTTCGTTCATCTCCTTGAGTAAGAATCTCTCTCTAAAAAAAGCAGAACAAGAGTTGAAGACATCGTCGCCAACTGTTTTCCAGTTTTGTTGGAAAAAAGAGGAAGTATATATGCAGTTACCTCCGAGTTATAATTGTCCTACTCCAGGGAAAGTTTGTAGGTTGCATAAGTCTCTATATGGTCTGAAATAGGCTCCTCGACAGTGGTTTTCTAAATTGTCTAAAGCCTTGAAATCTTATGGTATCAAGTAATCATATGCAGATTATTCTTTGTTCAGTTATATTCAGGGTACAGTCTCCCTTCATGTTCTTGTGTATGTTGATGATCTTATTATTACTGGTTCGTCTCATGATGCGATTATTCGTTTTAAAAAAATATTTGAGTACTTGCTTTCATATGAAAGACCTTGGTGTGTTGAAGTATTTTTTGGGTATTGAAGTTGCTCGTGGTCCGGAAGGTATATTTTTGTCTCAGCGTAAATATGCTTTAGATGTGTTATCTGAGGTGGGAATGTTAGGTTGTAAGCCTATAGATACTCCTATGGAACAGAACCATCGTCTTGCATATGCCGAGGGGGAGCCATTCTCTCAACCTGATTGGTATCATCGCTTAGTTGGGCGACTTGTTTATTTAACTGTAACTTGTCCAGAGTTAAGTTACTCTGTTCATAGTCTTGCACAGTTTTTGAGTAACCTGTAGGTGCAACATTGGGATGTGGCAATCAGGGTACTTCGCTATATCAAAGGTAGTCCTTGTCAGGGTATATTGTTGCGTCCTATGAAAGACATGTGTGTTAACGGCTTTCTGTGATAGTGATTGGTTAGCATTTCCTTTGACTCGTCGTTCTTTGTCTAGTTATTTGGTTTTTCTTAGTTGTTCCCCTGTCTCGTGGAAGACTAAGAAACAACTGATAGTATCTCGTTCTTCTGCTTAAGCTGAGTATCGTGCTATGGCAGTTACAACTTGTGAATTAAAGTCGTTGAAATCTTTGTTGTCCTCTCTTGGTATTTTGCATCTCAAGCCTATGAAGTTGTATTGTGATAGTCAATCTGCTCTCCATATTGCTAAAAATCCTGTTTTTAATGATCGTACTAAGCATATAGAGGCAGATTGTCACTTTGTTCGTGATGAGTTGGTAAATGGTAATCTAGCTACTACGTATGTTCCTACAGGTCATTAGTTAGCAGATATTTTGACGAAGGCACTCGGGAAGCGACAGTTTGGTTTTCTTCTTAACAAGTTGGGCATTCGTGATTTACATGCTCCAACTTGAGGGGGAGTGTAAGGATATAATTATGTTAAGTGAGATATATTTTGTGAATATATTTGTATATATCTTGTTAGGAGTTTTTGATATGTTAGATTAATATTGTAAGCCTATATATATATGTATTTAATGGTAAAGGCTCATTAAGCCGTTTTCTCCTAAATTTCTTGTGAGTTTAACAGAGGAACTCAGAGATGAAGTGACCAAGCGTCAGGAGGACTCAACAAGTCAAGACTCGGTTAAGAGTAGTCTTAAGACTTAAAAGTACTTGGGTTAGTGTGAGTTTGTCACATTGAGATGTTTTATTTCAGATGTTACGGGTACAATTAATTACTCCTTAGCTTAGGCCGTAGAGGTGTGAGATTTGGGGTGAAGTTACTTGTTACTCCTTCATTCACTTCTTGTTTGCACCATGACCCATTTTATATGAGAGCATTTTTTGTCAAATGGTGCAAACAACAAGGGATAGAGGGACTGAAGGAGTATTCCGTAGTTGTTACTCTATTACAATATATGTGCTTGTACAATTTAACTATTAATATTTGTAATTATATATTAGCATAAAAAGGTTAATATTATGAATATATATATAAAAGTTAATCTAAAAACATTTTACATGATTACATATATTTTGTATATACACTACTACCTCCGTCCCATTTTTAAGTACCTGTTTTCATTTTCTAGTATCCTAAAATTAAGTGTTTATTTCTAGTATTGTTTCACGTATAATTACTTACATACCCCAACTTTATACCTTTTAGCATATTAAACTTCCCTAAATACCCTTAAAAATTGTTGGCCACTAGAAAACATAATATTGTACTTTTTATATTACTCTCAATATACTTCACACATACTTTTCATACTTTTTTCATATGCATTAAACCCCGTGAAAATATGAGAAACGAGCACTTAAAAATGAGACGAAAAGAGTAACTACTTTTATCTGTTTGTTATAGAGGTTAATCTGTTAGGATTATAAGGCTTTTTTAGTTGATAATATGATAGTAGTTACTCTATCGGCGTTAGTCAATGTTATAGATGTTACTTTGTTATTTAAGGGCTACTCAGATCAATAAGTCCTGTAAAAAAAAAGGGTTACTCAATAAGTATAATAAGGGGTTATTTGTCAAAATAACAAGGGTTACCCTGTCAATGTTATAGGGGTTACTCCGTTTTTAAAAAGCGGTCATACGGTGTGGCTAGCCACATAGAAAACTTGTTTTTTTTTTGTTTTTTTATATTGGTAAAAAATTATAGTCAAAGTAAGTATTTTAATAGAGCAAAATCAATAGTTGTGATTATTATGAAACGAAGATAGTAAAAATTTATTTCGGTAACCATTATATTTGATATATACATGTTTGTTTTAAAACGATAAGATACAAGGGGGTCTTCTCCCATCGCAGGAAGGGGGGGGGGAGGGTGAGGATCAAACCCCCGTCACTCGGGGAAGATGGAGGGACTAACCATCCATCTCCTTGATCCTCTTTCGAGTCGTGCGTGCTAAACTACATCCATAATTTCGATACTTGTAAAATTCAGGTATCGGAGTTTTGGGTTTTGGTTTAGTCAAGTATTAATTAAATTTTAATTCATGATTTTTTTTACTCGTATATGATAATTTATTGATTAACATAACCATCTAAAGTTCTAATTATAAAGTTGTGACTTATGAGGTCTAGTTGAATGGGAATGTGGGAAGAATAAAAGGAAGGTTTTTGCTTTTGTTTTCCCTTTGGAGTAATCCCTCTATTTCTTATTTTCTATCCGATTTGACATTTTACGGCATTTAAAATGCATCTGAAACCGAATATATCTTTGTTTTCATGCACGTAAAAACATAAAAACTTGACATTAATAAATATACAAGGTAACAAATCCTTCATATGACTAAATTATCTCTTAGAAATCAATGATAATTAATGGTCAAAATTTTAAAAGTTTGACACAAATATTAGCAATAGGGCAAAAATTTAGGGGCGGATGGAGTAATACACTAATGTTCTATATATACATTACGCACACAGTATTATCTAATATAGTAGGCACAACAAGAGTATATAATTTTAAGAAAAATTAATAATAAGACCATGTTCTCTTTACCTATAATTGCTGAATTGAAATTATGTTTGCTGAACATAAATTATTTTGGGTTTTTTACGACACGTCTTCATGTTTTTCACTTTTCTACGTTGTACCATCTCTTTTTGAAAGTTACACACGGTATCTTTATTGTTATAACGGATAATTTCAATGGAACGATGTGGGAACTCACCCTCAACACAATGTAAAATAAATGGAAAAATACGATAATAAAAGAGACAAGTGTTTATGAGGAAATTTTGATTTCCTCCCCTCAAACCAAAATATTGTTTTATTAAGTTCCTACAAAATAAGACAATAACCCTGTTGATGATTTTCCTCCTCAATAAATCATCAATACAACCATCATAATTTTCTAGTAAGCCTAAACTCTCTTACGTAGGCTAACCTAAAAAACCCCATATCTATTAGGATATTTTACTTGCTCCCCAAGCCTAAATAATCCAAATTGATTATATTCCTGAAATCTATCTAGTTTTCTACTTATAATCCTCATCAAACTAGGAAAAAATAAAAATAGAAATAAATAAAAGATACATCATATCTAAAAGATACGTCATGTCTTTTCCCAAAATAAATCTCGTTGGTATTTGGTAAGTTTAGTTTATTTTCTAACAAACATTCCCTTAAACTCAACTTAAATTACCAAACATCCACATGTACCAATGATCTTTTTCCTCTAGTTGGGTTTGTAATTCTAGCAAACCTCCCCTCAAGCCCAACATGACTTCCAACTTGATCAACTCGCGATCAAACTTCTCCCCTTGAACTTGAACATCTTCTTCCATCCATGAAGTGATTTCTCTCGTTTCTTTTTTAGAGACTCCAACTAGTGATTTTAAGCACCAGAAAAATCACAAGAAAACCATCCAACCTATCATTAGTTTTTGAGGCCAAAACTATAAACCCTCCACATGTAATTTTTTAATGGACAAAACTACAAACCCTTTAACATGTAATTTTTCAAAGGACAAAACTACAAAACCCCCAACTGTATCTTCAACCATTGTCCCGACCAATACCTTCACTGTACTTTGCCATAACAAGAAATTCGTCATCTCGTTAAATAATTCTACTTTGTATTTTTTCCCAAATCTTCTTTACATCAACTTAGCTCTTGATACCAATTTGTTATAACGGATGTTTACAATGGAACGATTTGGGAACTCACCCTCAACATAATGTAAGATAAATAGCAAAATACGATAGTAAAAGAGACAAGTGTTTATGAGGAAATTTTGATTTCCTCCCCTCAAACTAAAATATTATTTTATTAAGTTCCTACAAAATAAGACAATAACTAATCCTCATTTTCCTCCTCAATAAATCATCAATTCAACCATCATAATTTTCTAGTAAGCCTAAACCCTCTTATATAAGCTAACCTAAAAAAACCCACATCAATTAGGATATTTTACTTGCTCCCCAAGCCTAAATAATCCAGATTGATTATTCCTAAAATCTATCTAGTTTCCTAATTACAATCCTCATCAAAATAGGAAAATATAAAAGATAGAAATAAATAAAATATACATCATATCTAAAAGATACGTCATATCTTTTTCCAAAATAAATCTCGGTTGTATTTGGTAAGTGTAGGGAAATTTTCACACTTTCGCCCTACTGTGGGTCATGTTTTTAGGCATGGCGGTGCTCCAAGGGAAAGAAGCTAGAGAAAAAGAGTCGCCAACAAGTTTTAGGAACTTGTAAACCGTTCACGGGCGTGAAGGTTACACCCCATTCACAATCACAGATATTGCTAACTCCATAGTGGTCCGAAACCATGACTGGATGTTCAGGGATGATGGTATGAATTTGACCTAAGAGAAGCCATACCAGCCTTAAATAGGCCTCTACTTAATTCTTATGAAATTCATACGCATTTTTCGGTCAACATACATACATCAAATTAATCCTAAACCTGTTTAATCTACGTTGGTTGATTATTAATGCACAATCGAATCTAATATTTGTGATCACTTAAATTAAAATCATCTTAAGCCTAAATTCAATTATTAATTATCTTATTAGGAGTGATTTCAAGTATAAATTCCCTTTAAACCTGCAAAAAGGGGCGTGATCAAGCAATGACAATAAATTGTGAATAATCAAGCAACATATGATCAATATAACAATCATCATCAAAACATTGTTAGTAATAAGATCCTAGGCATGATACTAAACGAATTAAAAACAAATTCGGGCATGTCTTTAATAACAAGATCAAAGCGTTATCCTAAACATGATATTAGAAATCAAAATAACATCCTAATAAGCATGATTTTTACTCCAAAATCAAAAGAATAACTAAGTAATTAAATTACTTACTTTGATGTATCGAATTTCTTGCTGTTAAAACAATACACTCGTTTAATTACTTACTTTAATGCATCGAATTTCTTGGTGTTAAAACAATACACACGTTAATAAACTTCAAGAAATCCAAATCATAAAGTAAATAATAAACTAAATCAATTATAGAATTAAAATATAGATTTGGGACCAAACTCTCAAAACTATCAACCTTTCACGTAGGGTCGAAAGCAATGTCGAGTTTAGCTTGGAGTATTCGAATTTTGCGAAGAAGGTATTGTGACTGATTTAGGAGAATATCAAGAGTGTGTTTAGGCTAAGGCTAAGTACATGGGTGTTTAAGAACTTTGAGGATTATGATGGCTATCGATGGTAATTGTTGATGGGAATTGTTGATGGTAATTGTTGATAAGGATTGTTGATGATCGGAACGGGGAAAACGACCTTTATTTATAGGGAAAAAATTAAAGAGAGTCGAAGCGATTAGAAAT